AAATAAAAACCAATGTATTATCTCAATTGATCTTGATATTTTAGACTGACCGGAGGCCGTATTTCTACACTGACCACTTCTTCCTATCAATCTTTCCTGAACCACTACAGCGACTATGAGAGCCATACCATATGTTCATACATTGTATCATACATACTTGCCATTTTTGAAATAAATAATTTTATCCCTAGAGAACCACCATACTGCTTTAAAGCCTTTGATCCTGTTACGCAACTTCAACACAGTACCAATGAGCTTATTCCCAAGGACAACTGGCGGTATTATTACTTTCTAGCCCGGGCCTGCTCCAGTCACTGCGATCATTGCACGTTTAACATGTGATGACTTTAGGGAGTTTGCGCTAAGGATCCCTGAATACAAAAGATTAGCCAATGCATCATCTTGTACGCTGAACGACCGGAAACCATCACGAGACGATCCATCCAAGGTTGTTTGCTCCTTGTCGAATGCGATGGCTTTCTGGACTTGATCCCTTTTGATTTGTGCGTTGTACTCCCTGGCGGTAACCCTGGTGTTGTTCATCTCAACGAGCTGCTTCGCATACTCCTCTATCACATTAGAGGGTGCTATGTAGTTGTCACTACTCAAGAGATACTCTTTCAGTTGACGTACATTGGGTTAGGCAAAGCTCTTGTCGCAATAATTACACTGGTGTATATCCTTACCATCTTCTACTCTCGTTACGAAATGTGCATCCCTAACAGGATCAGCTTTATATCCCATATCGACAACGTAATTGTGTACAGTATGAACAACGGAAAGTCAAGAATACAGTACCTTTATTATTTTTAAATTTTACTATGTATAATGTATAATTGATATGTGTAAATAAAAAGAAACGGTTGCAACTTGACACTTGAATTAATGGTGGGCCAAATGACACATAGTGGCGCGAATATTTGGGACAATATATTTGACCTGAAAACCTGCACCCGACTAGTCAAAATATGCATATCAGTTATAAAAGTTGACCGTTAACCGTTATTTTTCAAATTATAACCGCTTTAACGTATAACTTTTTGACGTTAGACTGACAGTAGTACTGACTACTCTCTAGACTCTAGAGCGAGTAGTAGCGACTCTCTCCCTATTTAGTATTTGTTTAATAATAAAAATACAGACTCAAGACTGTGAGTCTGTGAGTCTGTGAGAGAGCGCGACTATTGTAAATAGTATATATTCAAGTCATTCCTCCTTATATGTCTACCTCTATATCTATATGTACACTTTTCATTTCATTTGGGCCGATCCCAGAGAGAGCTGGCCCCCTTTTAGGGCCCTGGAAGTCTGGAACTAATATTTCAGAAGCCCTCAGATTAAATTTTTAATCTTCATCAACACTGCCAATTGATCCGACCATTAGTGGGGGCCACGGGTACAATCTCGGTGAGACTTCACACAATAAATATTTTAAAGTATACGTATATGTAGTCTGTCTACACTCTACACACATTGAATTCGCGCCACTAAGACTTACTTCTTCTTCATGGAGGATACGTCTAGCTTAGGTCGCTGTTGCGTGCAAGGGTGCGCGATCACGCAACCGACATCAGGTGTTCACAAATGTACTGGTTGCGATCGTAATATGCATGCCTTCTGTGGCGTGCATCGTGGTGAGGGGTTTGGATCGAATTCGATCGGATACTGCTTGTCTACAAATAACTGCAAGCGTCAGATACAAGAGTGAAGAGACTGTCTAATAGTAATTAAAAGACTAACAAACTGTGTTTATAAAGGTGCGTGCCCTTCCAGCAAAGAGAGTTAATCTAACAAACAACGAGAAAGGTGTCGTCGTGAGCACTATCAAAATATGTGGATATGACTTGAGCAAGCTATGGAGAGAGAACCTGACCTAGACATGTCTACCTCTATATATGTACAATTTTTGGCCCTGGGTGGAACCTGGACATATGTAGAGGTATGACTGTACATATAGATGTATATAGAATTATAGATATATAGCTATTTTTAATAATAATAAAAACAAATACAGTGTGTATATATCATATCTACAACTTTCACTGAAAGCCTGAGAGTCTACTTTATTTATATATTTATACAAATATTCAATTTCTACTTTCTAGCTCTGAGCCTCTGGATATATAAATATACTCAGCGTGTTTGCGTCACTGACTCACTGGGGGGTGGATCCTCTCTCTGGGAAATGGGTCAAGGGGAAATTGGGGATGGTTCATGGGAATTGTTGGGAAGCTGGGAGACTGGGAGTGCGCAGGTTTTTGTGCGAGAGTCCATGACTCCAAGGTGGGCTCGCGGAGCTTGTGTAGACAATCAGGAGCAAAGAGGCAATGAAATAATTGAAGTACAAACACTAGTGCCTGAGGGTTTCACGAATCATACAACAGCATCCATGATAACCATATTCGGGCGCATGCTTTATAAAAAATAAGTATTCATCAGTCCTTTTTCTTGTCGTATGAATAAAATTGAAATTGCTGAAACAATGTATCAGCAATTCGGCATCCACAGGATGGCTATGACTCGCGGAGTCGTCAGCCGTGAGCTGTGTCTCATATATTTTTTTATACGTATAAAATACTACTCCAGAAATTCAGATTTCAGAGTTTCATTTTTTTGTTAAAATAATTTGTAGATGGAACTTTTTATCATATAATTTATAGACGGATGTATAATTCCAAGTAATTTATAGATGGATTGCTTTTAAAAACGAAGGTGCTCTAATAATTGATTTTACACTTTACTCCACAATCCACAGTTACTCCACACTATGTATTTGTATTTTTATATTACTTTTTAAAAAATTCGAAACACACAGTATATACTGTTCAAATAAGAGAAAGTGAAGAATATTTTTTAACAAAAACAAAAAATCGATATAAAGACTTGACTCTTCGCCAATAAATAAATATTTACACACACGGTTTTATTTCCTCCGTGTACTAAAAATATCACTTTGCAGAACTTCTTGTGGGAAGAGCAATTTCTTAGTTTTACTTTTTGCTATTCTTTTCGAAGACACTCGCCGACTCGCTCCAGAGTCCAGCAGTCGCCACTCGCCACTGAGTCACCAGTCGCCAGTTGCCAGTCGCCAATAATGTAATTTTGAAAATTGCACTTGCAAGATACACCTATTCCCAACGAAACGGACTACATAGCTCAAATTAACCAATGAGTTTTTAGCATCACTTTCACGTAAACCAGCCCGTCACCTTGGCGGCTATTCCAAGCGCTAAAATTTAAGGACATAATTGAATCACGAAATGGCCTCTTATATGCACCCAGCCATATATGAGATGGACTATATTGTACGTAAACGTTAAACGTAAATCAAGAACTTATTGTTTATAAACGTTATATAGGATAACGTTTTCATCTAAGGTCTGCAGTCTGCAGTCTGCACCCTGCGGCCTAACAACCTCAATAGGCCAAACGTTCTATCTATTATTTTTCAAAAAGTTACCTATAAAAATCAAAGTTTATAACTGGTAGGTACAGAAAGAAATATGATAGGTACTTCTTCCAGGTCAAGCTGATGACAAAATTGTGTCCTGTTTTTTTTTTGGCGCGCCTATTGGGCTTAAAACAATACACCCGCCACTTTCCAAATTAGCATCTGATTGAATTTTATTTATGACATATGTAATCCAAAACTTTTCAACGGTAAGACAACTATCGAGCTATCCTAAAAACGTTATCCTATATAATGTTATAAAAAATAGAAGTATCGATTTACGTTCAACTTTTTATTACCTTATATTCCATCTCCTATATGACTGGTACATTCAGGAGGTCATACTATGATCCGATTGTGTTCTTAAATTTTGGCGCCAGAAATAGTGACCAGCAATGACAGTGAATTTGAGCTAAATGGTCCGTTTCGTTTGAAATATGTGGCAAGTGCAATTTTCACAATTTCATGCACCATATTTGACCCCCAAAACGTTATATCGTTTATCCTGTATAAAAATTCGCCTTTACGTTGACCGCCTATGTGAACATACCTTTACGTATTGAGCCTGCTATTTACAATTTATTTGTCCCAGCATATTTTCTCTTTAAAAATAACTTTATCAAAAAGTATCCGATAAAATCAAGCATTTCCTCGTGCACGTCAAACTTATTGAGGTTATATAGCCTGCGGCCCTGCGCCCTGCGGCTAATACAGGGCCGAAATCTCGACTTCTGTACCCCAGACTAACAGTCACCAGCTCTCACCACTCGAGGCGGGGCCGAGGGGCCAGGGCGATTGTTTTAGAAAACAAACGACATAAAAAAATTGTAATTATTATGCCCTCAGAGGAATACAATTTTACAAATGGAGCAAATGAGAAGATCAGAAGAGAGAGTAGAGTCGAGCCAGAACTTCAGAAGACTGATGAGAGAAAATCGCTTCCCACAATTGACAATCGAAAGACTTTTCGGCGTTGCTGCACCCTCTGTCGGTCAATTCGCAGTCCCCAGTCCCCAGTCCCAAATCTCCAATCCCCAATCTCCAATCCTCAATTGCCCAGTCCCCAGTCCCAAATCTTCAATCCCCAATCTCCAATCCTCAATTGCCCAATCCTCAATTGCCCAATCCCCAGTCCCCACTCCGTATAGTCCAAAACTCCCAATCCCGTGGCCCAGTCCTTAATCCTCACTCCTGAGTCCCCACTCACAGACTTACAGTCAGTCGGTCTCTAGTCACCACTCGGCACATTCACCAGTCACCAATATCACCACCACTAACCAGTCACCACCACTAACCAGTCACCACCACAGCACCACTGCACCAGTCACTCTAGAGAGTCAGTAGGTCTCCGTCGACCGGTTACCACTCACCACTGTCACAGTCTAAAGGGCAATAATATATTTCTATACATTTTTTTTAACAGACAGTTTTTTATTTCATTTTGGTGCTTTGTTTTCTTTTTTAAATAATAAACAGTCGCTCAAGACCGACAGCTCTCTCAACTCTGGCACAGTTCACAGTCCGTGGTCCGTACTCCACTTCTACAGATAGAGTTAGGCAGCTAAGAAGTCTTACTCTGAGTCGGGGGCTTGGGCCTCGGGGCCCTGAGCTGGGTCACAGCCTCACAGGCTCGAGCCTTGGCTGCCTCGCAAGTTGCGGGCCAATGACAGGCCATGACTCTACTGTTTTGTTTTTAATAAAAAACTATATTTACCTCGAATTTTTTTGGACATTCACATAAAACTGGTCGTTGACTCGCGTCGATGCCGACTAGAGGTTGGGGGGTTTTTTTTTCGTTTCGATAAAACATAAAAATTAATAAATAAATACACACTCCTGACACAAGAGAGAGAGAGAGAGGACTTGTGTTTGAGGCTTTGCTTATGCCTGATGCCGTCCTTGTCCGGGAAGCCCAACATCATGGTTTGCTGTGACTTTATTTACTATTTAAAAAGCAGCTTACTAGCCTCTGCTTCTCATTAAAACAAATGTGAAGCACAGTGAAAAGTTCTCTCTCTCTCCTCTGTATCCTTCCCTTTTTTTCAATACATACTCGGTATCCATAGTTTTGAATCGAAAACAACAATGACTTTGACAGCATCTAAAGGAGTGAGCCACAAGTGGCACTATACGAATAACGCCGATTTCGCTTCCAAGGGTGGTAAGAAGCGAAAGTCGAAAGTGTCTAAGACTACTAGCCAGCCTATCAAGCGCATGCAAAGTGCCCCTATTGCTACGTCGAAGTCGGCAAAGATATTTATTCCATATGTCAGTAGCTTGAAGAGCTTCGATTGTCTTCCCAGATCACCAGCTCCTCAGTTATCTGTACCGGCATCTCCTCCAACCAAATACTCGTCTCACTTCTACGGCATGCAGGAAACCCCTCCCCTCGGGAATACGTACCTTCCTTTGAACTTCGAAGAGGTTCTGGATTCATCTTACGCCCGAGCCGATGCAAACTCGCTCAACATGCTAAGTCCTTTGTCTGCTATGAAGTCGGATTCTTCATTCGGGGGGTTCGGATCTCCAGTGATTGGAACACCACCCATGTGCGAATTACCCGGATTGTCAGACCTTGGTTTGAATGACCTGATCTCTAAAACCTTTCCACTACTTTTGACTGATAACTTACTACAAGATAACAGTATGTACTTTAAAGATCTGTTCCTGATCAACCCACACCCCGCGGATCTACCGGCATTAGTGGACTTTAACATAGACAACGTTGCTTTCAATTCTGCGGTTCCCAGCTCGGCCCTCACTATCTGAAGGAGTCAAAATGGAAGGACCCTACTGCTATGTGACGACAGACCAATAATTAATCATGGACCAAACCATACAAATGAGGTCTATCGGTTTCCTTAGTGTTTTCATAGCTAATCCGAACCGAAAAAGCAGTCCACAACTCAGAAAAAAAAAGTGGAATCATCCTTCAATCTGGGATTGATGTAAAAGGTAATTATAAATGAACTCGCGGTGCGTTGCGAGAAACCCTTGCTTGAATACGAAAATCAGCTGGGTGAAAGATAGTACGCGTCCCACAAACGGATTTCCTCTGCTCTGCTCGATAGCACGTCGGCTCTACACCTCAGCCTTGTCGTGTGTGAATTTTTGGAGGAAAGCCACTTCCCAAACCCCCGGAGTCATATATAAATACACTACATCGTCATACTATCACCGTTGCCGCAGAAGCAAAAACAACCCAGTACGCGGATAGCCAGTCTTTGCTAGCCAAACTGATATGAAATCATAAGTGGTTCATAAAATATAGATATAGAACACCATAGAACATTAGAAACTTCTAGGGGAAACAACCCTTTGAAGGTATGTAGGGCATTCTAAGCCCTTGTGTGTACCATTCGGAGGTCATTCGATGTCTGAAATCGACAAATAAATCTGATAAATAAATCAACTCGCACCACAGCAGGACATATATATCATTCTTGAACTTCGCCTTCTCCGCACCTCAGCCTTGTCGTGTGTGAATTATTGGAGGAAAGCCACTTCCCAAACCCCCGAAGCCAGATATATAAATACACTACATCGTCGTACTATCACCGATACCGCAGAAGCAAAAACAAATCAGTACGCGGATAACCAGTCTTTGCTAGCCATACTGATATGAAACCATAAGACGTGGTTCATAAAAAATATCGATATAGAACACCATAGAACATTAGAAACTTGTAGGGTAAACAACCCTTAGAAGGTATGTAGGGCATTCTAAAGCCCTTGTATGCAAAATAGACAACTAAATCTGATAAATAAATCAACTCGCACCACAGCAGGACATAGATATCATTCCTTAACTTCGTCTTCTACGAAGTTGTGATCGGTGTGGTTTATTCTCACGAGCTAGAAATACATGTTTAATAAAAAAATGTGTGCACAGACACGTCAAAAATTAGTTTCGTAAGTCAAATTTCGTCACGTATCTCCTGGTGATCAGTAAGACAGACAAAGATGCTAATAATTTTCCTATCTTTTACCCAAGCCAAATGTAGCTATGTATTACACACTCACACAGCATCACCCTCGACGTTTCTGGTCAAACTTATGTATTGGGCAGGTCTTTAGTAGGACATATTGTAAGTGATTCTCACAACCAGTGAAATTGAATTACACTTATCTATAGCTAATTTAGAATAGCCCGCTTCTTACAACAAACAGAATATAAGCTAGCGTGCTTCTTTCGAGTCAATTTGCTCCCACAAATATGCATCTACAACTGAAACACGCTACAAAAAGACAAAGCCCGCGAACTGTGGGGTCTACCGCTATTGTGAAAGAAGTCGGGGATTGGTGGTCGATGCCTTCTTCTTCAACACAGGCTGCAAGTCGACGTTACTATGGTGCCAAAAATCAAACTAGTTGCACGTTAGAACTACTACATTGAACAACACGAACTAGTACGACATTGAACGATTACGACACGCAACGCATAAAGTTTGGAGCGAACTTGTCCCTATTCGAAGTCACCCTAATGAAACCATATCCGTCCTGAAAGCCCCCACACCTGAATAAATAAAGCACCGCTTGAAACGAAAAACTTTTATTGATAACCTGGTAATTCTAAATGGTACCGGGTTGGCCCATTTTAATTCTGGCAAAACTATACTAGAGTAATACCCATGCCAAGTTCAATTATTCGAGGATGTACCACAAACTGTACCAGATCGCATAGCGACCTCTTCAGCGGGATGTGTTTTGTCATGTCATACACCACCCTATAACAGCACACGCTCCACAGGTGTTTCCTATGGTCCGAACGAACAATTTGATGGCCTGTGCCAAGGAGGTGCATATATATCGGTACAAATATATCACATAAATAGATCACTTTTTGTTTACAAATATAGTATTTGTATTTTGTTTTTTTGTGTTTTTTTAAACAATATGTACCAAAATTTGAAAATATAAAACATATGCGGCATAAAAGCCACAAGGCTCGCCTGAGTAAGCCCTAAGGCCATATAACTAAGAAGCTATCCTATCTCTCTTTAAAAAAGCGGGTATAAAAACATTATCATCAAAATTCTGTAATATTTGAGTTGGTAGGTAGATTTCGGCGATAAGATTCGACATAGAGAAATATATTTAGACATGACATAATTTCACACCCCGCTCAATTTTCAATATTCCACCTATTTATCGCACACATCTACCACGTATGTATTTACCAGCACGTGCTAGTCATTCGCTTCTTACATTAAAGTAACATAGATGTGTCCAGAATCCAGATTTTATTTTGATACACTCAACGGAACCTTTGCAATCGCTCCGGATAGTGATTAATCTGTGATAAAGTTTCGTCGCATACAGCATTGCAGTTAAGTCATCAGACCTTAGATTTGATTTTGCACCATGGGGAAGAAAGACCTACCACCAACATTGCTGTCGATGCCACTGCACGAGGTAAGAATACACATGATTACTATGTAGACTCAAAATTTGCCAACAACAACAAAAGTGCTAGTACAGAGGTAGAATATACAGATAAGAAGTCTAGTATTGAGATCTGGGCTCGTCCTCCGAACGAAGATCTCAGCGATTCGGATTATAATGACGAATTTTGTATACCCGCTGCTCTGTTGCTTTCAAGATGAACACCCCAGGCAGTGAATAGAATATTTAAAGCTTTCACACACAGATCGGTCATAACTTATCTCCATTTATCTGGGTTTACTACAATCACTCTTAGCGTTAGAAACATCCGTGGGTTCTCGCATTTGACTGGCACAAGATAGTTGATCTAAATATACTCTTCGAGTAAATAATCGGCAAGGCCCTACTGTCACCGATGTCTTTGTGAGAAGCCCGCTTGACGTAGGCACATGCATCATGTACATTGCTATTTAATTTAATAGACGCGACCAATGTTTACTCTTTCTTAGGAATAGTCTAATATATCGATTGTAGTCTCGCTATGTGAATATTTTTATTGCGCCGGGACTTCATAAGCGCAAACAAATCGAGCGGGAGTTAGGCGGCATTTCTGCATCAGGAACAAATTCTTCTACGTTGGATGTGTACTGACAGTTGTAATGTCGTTAACTCACTCTCCCATCAATTTCATAACAGTTGTATGATTCTTGTTAACTAGAATAGAGTTTGCACGCTTGCGCAATTAGATGGGATAACAACAAAACACGTAGATATTTTCTGGTGGGTGTACAGACAGTCCGGTAGTCTTAGTGTCGGTCACCTACAAACTCTTACAATTGATACTAAGCTTGAAGGTCTCTACTTTTACAATCTAAACTTAAAATGTATGTAAATTCATGTATATTTTTATTTTGCGAAACTCTCAAACCTATTATATTTTCCTTAGGCGGGTCTGATAAGCGACCCAGATGTGGGACTGGTTCCAGCACCCGTACAGCTCACTTGCGATTACCTCAGAAAGGAAGGCCTCGAATCCGAGGGACTATTCCGAAAAGCAGGAAATAGCAAGCGAATAGATCAATTGTTAAGTGATATTTCTACATACTATCTCGATAGAGAGCACAGTTGTGTGGATAATCCTGAACGATTGATGTTTGATTTGCTGGGGCAGCCCCTCCTCTCTGTACATGACGTAGCTAACGCGCTGCTACGATATTTAAGGAATCTGCCAGAACCTTTGTTGTCTAATCAGTATATACCCGTTATATGTCAGAGTCTGGAAGAATATCAACTAGCTGTGGGTGAAAATGGGGGTATTTTCAATCTAAAAGAGGATGCAGCCGAAGAAACATTGGTGGATGAGAAAGAGGAAGAAGCCTTACAATTGTTACTGGCTAGGATGCAGTACATGATCACTAAGATGTTACCCCCAGCCAATCGCGCCACATTGAATGTTGTGATTGATCTATGTATAGCTCTCTCGAATGAGCAGGCTACAAACAGGATGACACCGGCGAATATTGGAGTTTGTATTGGCATGACAGTAGCCACACCAACCGTCTTACAGCTCATTATACAATTTAATGAGATAATTATCCCGAAAGACGAGAGCAAGAAGTTTGCGGGGGCCATTGGCTACCAGGCCATCGCAGGTTTAGACTTCACACGCACGGTAGAAAGTATGCCAACATTTACATTGGGCAGTGGTAGCAGCGCGACTGACCAATTTTGTCTGGGTACGCTTACTTTTCATGGAGGTATGAATTCGAGTTATACGATGGACAAAAAAGAGAGGCCCAGTAGCTGGATTGGGGGTGGCAAGCAGAAAGATAAGGATGAAAAGCGAGTAAGCACCACGGCACCACGGATGGGTGGCACGCTCGAAGAGAAGGAACGCAAAAGTAGGAATAGACTGAGTAATTTATTTGCATAATAATTTCGGAGTAGAAAGTGTTTATTTAGATAATAAGCGCCGGTATCCAAGTTCCAGCATCACCTAAATGGTTAAAGTGGCGATGTACGTATAAGAATACGATTTTGAGTAGGCGAGAACATCGTCCAAGCGAAACTTGAGAAAGGATTGGAAGATGCGCAATAAGAAAGAGGTCGCTTAAGAACGTCAATGCGTATAACTCTATAGCACACCACAGGGGACTCTTACAATATGACGGCTATGGACGCAATAACACGTCGGCTTCAGATACGAATGCCAGAACCCTGCAACAAACCACGATCATGATGCCTACTTCAACACAATCGATATTCAGCTATCTGAGGATTCAGTGATCCCAGAAATCAAAATCTCCATCATCCATCTACCAATGTTGTCAACAAAGCAGTGCATGTCAGCATACACACTTTTTAGTAAGAGCATCCCCAGCACATCACTAGTTATCTCAGTATCTAGATCTAGGATGTTGTATCATCTGCACACCTGACACGAACCTTACATGCAGATACCTTCGCTGTAGAACTTCCGCAATGCGATGCCAATACATACACGTCAATGCCCATGCCAATGTTCATGTCCACGCATATTGGTCAGAAATCGACCACTGGAACAGACCCTATTGTATCCTAGCATATGGCGTTGGACTACTCTAGGCTGAAGTTAGGAGCATTGGGAGACAATCTGAGTCGCGATTCGCATCTCAAACCCCTTCCCGTGTCTTGATGAGCTGTTTTTGGTCATGACACGTAATTTCCCTGCGATATCTCTTACTCTGCAGGTAGAGCGGCTGATGTACTAGTCTATATTGCAACCTTCACAGGTAGACATAACCAATTTAGTCTACACGCACACAAGCAATAAACCACAGCTAACCATTTGCCATATACGTAGTATAAAAGAATAGCATTGACAGTTCAGACTTATTCAACCGCAGTCATGACCGTCAAAAGGAAAGTGTGTTACGTTCATGAACGACTGGCAGTCTCATCCTCTGCCGATGATATGCACGGTGTTCCTGAGGCTTTCAGTTTTTTCCCGATTTTTTGTCTGAAAATTGCGCATTTGAAGATAGACCTCTAATTAACACAAGTGTGTCTTAAAATTACGCATTTGAAGATAGACCTCTAAATAACACAAGTGTGTCTTAAAATTACGCATTTGAACATATTATTATGGAGGGCTATGATTTGAATGATGATCTGTAGACGCTGGCAACATGAAAGCATTCCGATACTCGAACTGAGAGCTACTACGCGCCGGCCACAGCATTTCTACTTCTTGCGTATCTCGATACTTGTGTAGATTCGCACGACTTTTATGTTACTCGCAAGGAACACATTCACCAATGTATTCTATATATATA